TCACAACGGCCTCCTTAAGGGCCGCAGGGAAGACACCCTCCTGCAAAGAAGCGTTAATAATTCCCTGGAGCCAGGCTCGTGTACCCTCCCGAGCTGCCAGTACCAGCCAGGAGGGACACGGATCTAACAAACATGTGGTTGCATTCAGCCTCCCCAAGACCCTGTCCACGTCCTCGGGAGCAACAGAGTCAAACTCCTCTTGCTAGATTGAAAACTTTTTCATTGACAATTGCTTATCATATATTAAACTCTTGTATTAATTGAGACCAGGTTATGTAAAGAAATACTAATATCCATTTTGGAATGTCCTTGTATTAACATTACCATCTTTGAAAACCCTCATTTGTGCTCTTTGGAATCAGAAGTAATACCATAGCTGATGATTCTAGAATGGAATTTCTGTACTGCAGGGTCCTGTTTGTATATACACTTAAGAAATCTGACTGAATGTATCTTACTTTTTCCATTTAGTGCTGAATTCACAAGTTCAAAGAATAAAACAATAAAAATATTTGTATCACAAACATTTATAATTCTCTAACTTCTTACAGCTTATCCAAATTGGGGAAGCCTCAAGTAAAACTTACTTTAAGAACAAGAGCCCCAAAGCTTGCTAGTAATCAACTGAGTACTGGAAGATACAACTCTCGCAGTCAGCAGAATACACCTAAGCAAAATGGCTCTTCATATAAAGTTCTTGGAAAGAACATTAGAAAAACAAAATCTGCTCCTCCATCAGTGACAAAAACATTACGACTTAGCAGTCGTATTACTCGCCATAATCAAGAAATGCTGAAGGCAGAGGCATTTATAGAGTTGACCAGCCATCGAAGACAACGTAGAGGAACAAAGACAACAGACTCTACTCCAGAGAGTAGTTCTTCTGGTTCCCTTGGCTTCAGAATTATTGATGAGATGAATTTAAGGAAAGAGAAAAGCTCTCCAATATCAGTGGGGAAAAAATCACAAGATACAGATCCCCCCAAAAGGGGTAGGAAACGTCAGTCTACAGGTACATCGAACCTTTAAAATAAAATTGACTGCCAGAATAAATTTAGTTCATATTTAGTGTCACTTGGTTGTTTAGTGAAGTAGTCCAATGCTGCTTTCCATTATTAAGAACATAGAACAGTTAATTGGTGAATTTGCAAGCATAAAATTATTTATGGCAATTCTGTAGAATGCTTTCTTTGTTTGATTTGGGGTAGCTTGAATAGAAGGAGAATTCTTAACTGAATTGTTTCAATTGAGATTATTTTTATGCTTATTGATTAGCCAGCCTCATAATATTCAACATAATATATTGAAAGCAAACAAATCAGGATCAGAAAATGCTTGGAATAGCAATTATAGTTGAAAATGCCTAAATAAAACATTGTAAATTGGTGACATGAGTTTCTCTCAGGGTGGACAGTTGATAATATTTATATGATGACATTGTGATTTGCTACAGAAACCATTGATTGGTGAAACTATCTTTGTTGAAAGAATGAGCTGTGTTTGAATCAACTTTTGTGAATTTAACAAACAGCTTGAATTGAAATGAGTTAGCACAAGTGCCAGTACAACTATGTTTCCTGAACATGTTTTTCTTCATAAAATGGAACAAGCCAGGCTCAGAACAATTTATTTCTACTTATTACAATAGGGAATTATAAAAAAGTATTTTTTCTTTCTTGTATTCCAATTTTGGTAATATGGAGTCTAGTTGTATAAATAGGTATGGGAGATTGGTAAATGAAGTCTCTTTTAATTCACTTTATTTGGCTGAAACACTTGGGATTGAGTTATATCTGCCATTGTGGAAGCAAGTAATAAATGAATACTATACAATTATCCTTAGTATACTCATTTAGTAACCATGCATTCAGCAACTGTTCTAAGTTACAACAGTGCTAAATGTGGGGTTTTATGATCCTTATAATTTGGCTTTCAGTGTTCCTGTGATCATATGATTATAATTTGGGCACTTGAGAACCAATTCACAATTATGACAGCGCAGTGTTCCATGGTCATGTGATTACCATTTTCAACCTTCACTACTGACTTTTGACAAGCAAAGTCAATTGGGAAACCAATAGGAGGTTGCAAATAGTGATCACAGAAACTGTGCACACAGAATTCATCTAACAATGACAACTGTAATGGCTGCAACTGCTGTTATAAGTCAGTCATGTGATGTTACATTTAATGATTGCATTGCTTAGTGACAGGGTTGCCATTCCTAATTTCCATCATTAAGCAAAGACTATCTGTAGGCCAAAGACCTGAACAAGTTTATAAAGGTGGATATATATAAAAAAAATTATACTTTCTCTACATTTGTCTTTTTTTGATGTTCATATGTGATCCTATTATTTCAGAACCTTCTCAAGTGCCACTGAATCGGAGGACCTCAGGGCGTCAGGGTGGAGTACATGAATTATCTGCTTTTGAGCAGCTTGTTGTAGAACTGGTGCGACATGATGACAGTTGGCCTTTTATGAAATTGGTTTCCAAAATACAGGTAAATATCATCAAGAGAGTAAAAGAATGGAATTGGAAATGGGCTGGTCATTGATGGCAGGTGGACCAAGGCAGTCATAGAATGGATCCCACTTGATAAAAAGTGTCCATGAAAGAGACCTAAAACAAGATGGATCAACAACATCAGCAAGTATTGCGGGCCCAATTGGCAAAAGAAAGCTCAGGATTGTATAGGTTGGAAACATGTGGAAGATGCCTTCATCCTACAGTAGATAGACAGTGGCTAAAGTGATGAAGGAGGAGGGAGGAGGGGGAAGAAGAAGAAGAAGAAGAAGAAGAAGAAGAAGAAGAAGAAGAAGAAGAAGAAGAAGAAGAAGAAGAAGAAGAAGAAGAAGAAGAAGAAGAAGAAGAAGAAGAAGAAGAAGAAGAAGAAGAAGAAGAAGAAGAAGAAGAAGAAGAAGAAGAAGAAGAGTCAGAGTATTAAAATAATTAACTTGAATGTATATTGGAAATAATCACAAGGAGGAAAAATGACTAAATGTTAATGAAATCTGATCTTCATAAATAAGTTATACAGGGAAGGAAAATTGCAAACAAATAAAAATAATAAATTAGAAATAGGCCTCGCATAGACAAATTTAAAACCTTGTAAATTTCTTGATTATCATACT